ATCATATACTCAGTTTCATTTCTGTGTGAACTTTTAAGCTAGCTCCCACAGAGTGATAATTGGAACTTCGACCCAAAACTAAAGAGAACTCTGATGCAGCTTAAAAAACAGCAGTGATAATTTTGAAGAAATAACTTTGAATTCTTTGATTCACTCCATGGATTTTCAAAACCTCACTTTAATTCTGCTTTGGGCTCTAAGTCCAATTTGGGCTGAAATTCCAATTCAGACCAAAAATTGAGTTCTTCAAATCACAAACTCTGTAGAGCTTCAAAATTTCTCACGTTAACACTGATTCCTTGGCTTTTTGAAGAAATAAAATTAATTTCCTCAATTTACAAAGTAGTGGAGATATTGAAACTGAATTTAAAACAATGTTTAAATCCACAAAGTTTTTTTTGTTACTTTCAAATCAATATAAATTAAAAACTCAATCCCAATTCAAAAATACGACATGAAGAGCAAATTTTCAATCCTGGTATCATTCTCATTCAAAAAAGTTATATGTCTATGTATAGCACGTGTGGCTGAGTTAGAAGTGTTTCAGAGACATGGACAGACAGAATTTGCCATTTATTTATTTAGATTAAATTACATCACTTAACATCTTAGTTTATCTTCATTTTTGGTTAGCCTGCGTTATATTTAAAAGCATTATTTAATTTAAAAATTCTGAAAATCTAATGGCAATTTTATTTCTTGTAAAAATAAAATCATTGGCTAAGAAAAGATTTCCATTAGTTTTCCATTTGTCTTTATTCATACAGTCTTTTTACAAACATATTTAGATTTATATCTTTATATATGTATATATAATTTAAGGTAGTCAAAGTAAGACAAAGCTCACTGTTAATGATGATTTTATTTGATGGAGTCATCCTCTGTTAGTTACTGTAGGTGTTTGTGTGAGAATATATATATATATATATATATATATATATATATATATATATACACACACACACACACACATACATACAGAGAGTGAAACAGAGACAGAATAGCACTGAAATGTGAAACTGACAGTTACCATGAAATGTTGATGCTTAAGTCCACACAGGTTATATCTATAAATACTTTCCCAATACTAAAAACTCTACCCCAATAAATATAAATATAGAAAATTCTAAATTATATATATATATATATAGAGAGAGAGAGAGAGAGAGTCAAATGTGAGGATTTTATTTTGCAACAGTTAAGTTTTCATTTAGTCCCTTTGCAGATATATTGTAGTGATGTTTGAAATTTTTACACACACAGACATATATATATATATATATATATATATTTGCATATTATTTTCTCTGTTGTATATTGTCCTGATGAAGTTGGAATTGATATTGAAAACCTAAATTGACTTCAAAGTACATATGCTTTTATATTTGTCTATGAAGACATGATCATTTATTTAAAAAACAATCCTGTTTTTCCCATTTTACTTTTTAATTTGAAAATAATATTGAATCAATCATATGAATAGTCTCCCCTTTATTAAAGAAATACTCCATCAATTTTTCTTGTGACAGATGAAACTGCAGATACAGGTATTACTCTCTGAAGCTGGAAATTTAGGACTTTGAAGTTCTTTCCTACTTTCTGCTCACCTAATTCCAGGTGTGTCTTGTGACCTGTCAGTCCAGAAGCACCTCCACATAGTCTTCTCTTAATATAAGTAGTGAGATTGTATCCATTGCCACCTTGCTAGGCCTTTTGTACAGCTTACAGCAAATGGTTTTGCCCAGCAGAACTCATCTAACCAGGCTTAATATTGCTTAACTTTGTTGACTGGACAAGAACCAGTGATTCAATATGATATGGCTGTAAGTAAATCCTTAATTCTCTCTAAAATTTACTATTTTTATTTAGTATGGAGCATATGGTCTCACAAATACAATTTACTAATCTCTTTTGTTCAATGTATTTACAAATTCCAAAATTTTATATATATATAGGGAGAGAAAGAGAGAGAGAGAGAGAGAGAGATAAGCAGATTGATTGATATATCCATAAAACATTAATAATGCCTTTCTCATTTTCCCCAAAGGAAATTAATCTAATGCATTTCTCCCATTTTAACTGACAAAACAATAACTTATTTTATCTCCAGTGGATAAGAAGACAATATGAATTTAAGGTTACGTGTTATATTTTCACATGAAAAATGTGCCATTATTTAATTCAAACTAACATCCTTATCCTTTGTTGCTCTCACAACATTTTGCCAATTGTACCTTCTGTGACTTCTTCTGGTGACTTTCAAACTGAGCCCTTTATTTAATTTACCAAATCAGATTATTCTTATTCTGCTGTTCATATCTAGAGATATCTTGCTTATTTTTAGTACAGTTCACTTAAAAGACTAAAACTTTCCTTAATTGCCAAACATCATCATTTTCTTGAAGTATTCCCTACTGAAATGGTCAGTGGTGTTCGGGGCTATCTTTTGTCATCAGATACAGCTAAAAAATTATATATGTGTGTGTGTGTCTGGTTTAGTTTGTTTTGTTTTACGGCATATCATCCTCAATGGGTTATTTAATGCCAACAAAATTTTTGTTACTGGTAATATTTTTTCCTTCAAAAATCTGTTTTTGGTAATATTTTTTTCTTCAAAAATGTATTGCTGGTAATAATGTATTGCCGATAATAATTTTTTCCTCAAAAATTTATTGCTGGTAATTTTTTTACAAAAAGTATTTCTGGTATTGTTATGGTCCAATATCCTCGCACCACAGTTATGGTCCAAGGTTAGAATGAAGGAAGAATAACACGAACACAAGAGTAGAATAACAAAGATATATTACAACAGAAATATAGTACAATAAGTTGAAGGTGTTAGTAATGACTGTCCATCTGGTTTAGAGTGAACTAATATGGTCTCGATTCATTACACCACTCATTCATTATACCTCTTGAGAGGCGCAGTATTTATAGTGTCAGGAAGAGTCCATTATCATTATAGGTAAGTTCCCATAACAGGTATTAAAACCAATTTTTACACTTTCATAGTGTTTTGACCCCAGTTTGGGGGTTAACTATTTGCCCATAGCTGGGACCCTAACAGATGCTAACCCCCTGGGTCAGGGTGGACCTGGGAACACTAGCAATTAAGAGGTGGTTCCACACTTGTCAAAACCTCCTGATCAGAGCCCTTGCTGTTGGACAAAGTTTATCGTTTTACCCAGGACGCAGATGTAGTTTATCATCATACCCAGGACGAAGATATGTGTGCGTGTAGGAATATATAGACATACAGGGTAAGGCAAAAAATCGTGCACCGTGGTGATTAGTGGATAGATTGAAGAGGTACTGTTGAGTGGAAACCAAGGTGACCAGACCTCATCCACTTAGATTTTTTTTCTGTGAGGGCCTTTTGAAATCAATTGTTTATCAGACATGCCCAAAAGATATTGAGGAACTTAAAGAAAGCATTGAATATGAATGCAGTAAAATGACAAAGGAAACTCTCCAATGCATTAATGAATCATGCAGGCACAGAATTGAAATGTGTTTTCACAAAGAAGGAGGACATTTCGAACAGCAGATATAACAATTAAATAAGTAGTAAAGAAAATTTTCATGTGTAATTATACTTTTAATAAATTATCACTCACCATATATATATATATATATATTTATATGATAGAAATTAGTAGTCCTGGCTCCAGGGGTCACAGTCCTGTGGTTAGAGAGAACTCAGTAGAGTTCCACCACGGAATATGTCAGCGAGCGGCACTATATTGAGTCTGATTTGCAATCTCTTCATCACCGAGGCATATTGGAACAGTTGGTATGATGTTTGCTTGACAACCTAACTGTCAGGGGTTTCAATTCTCAGTAGTAGATGCGCACTACTGATGAGTACCAAATATAGGAGAAAATGGCCGTCGAGTGCTTTCTGCATTCTGTTGAGGTTTCTTTCAGACTCGATGAATTACTTAAATATATATATATATATATATATAAAAAATAAATCCTAAAGAGCCAAGAACAACCAACCTAGGTTTCCCTTAAACGAATCTTCAGAGTAATCTGCCAGATAAGTGTAACTTAGGTAGTTTGTTCCTGGCTCTTTAGGATTTATTTTATTTATTCCAGCTCTACTTATCGTATTGAGCACTCTATGTTTTAGCTTTATTACTCACTTGGATTTTTTCTTTGGACTAAAAACGTAAGGCACTGGATATATTTCTTAGTGTTTTCCACCATATTTACTTGTCAATATATTCTTTATTCTTCATCTGACTTTCCAGAAACACCAAAATTTACTCACAGTTTACTTCCTAACATTACTTGCAGGTAATCTTAAATGATATAACTTTTCTGAATAAATACATTTATGATTGGTCTTTCTAATCCCAATCAATTTCCTGGATTCGGTAGTGGAAATAATGGACATGACTTTAACAGAGCAAATGAAAAACCATGAAATTACCAGTTAAAATTCATAGAAACACTGAGTAAAATGTATATGGTTTAGCAAATCTAATTAAGAAAGGGAAAAAAACCTCTCTTGCTTTTATCTGAGACATATATTTGAATGTTCAAAGCATCTTTAAGCTGAAAAAGAGAATACTACTGTGAGAGAGCAAGATGAGGTGTCTGTAGACATGGATAGCAACACAAGAACATTCTGTTCCCTGTAGATTAAATAAAGGGTTAGGTTTTAAATTTCCTCAAGGTTATCCAGATCAAAGACATCTGAAGAAAGCTGGAAGGCACAACAACCAAAATATTATAATAAAGAGGAATATATAAGTTCTAATGTAAATAATGCAAAAGATGAGAGAGTAACAAGTCTAACAGTGAGAGAGAGTAACAAGTGCAACAGTGCGAGAAAGAGAGAAAGTTACAAGTACAAGTAAGAGAGAGTAACAAGTGCAACAGTCTGAGAAAGAGAAAGTAAGAAAGTGCAACAATAACAGAGATTAACAAGTGCAACAGTGTGAGAAAGTAACAAAAGATGTGACAGTGAGAGAAAGAGAGAGTATCAAGTGCTACAGAAAAAGAGTGTAATAAGTGCAACAATAAGAGAGAGTAAGAGAGAAAGTAACAAGTGTAACACTGAGTGAGAGAGAATTAGTGTAACAAGTGCAACTGAGAGAGAGTAACAAATGCAACTGCAATAGAAAAAAAGACAGTAACAAGTGCAACATAGTGAAGAGAGCATAATAAAACAGCAAGAGAGTGAGTAATAAGTGCATTAGTGAGAAGAGAGAGAGAGAGTAACAAATGCAACTGGAATAGAAAATGAAGGTGCAACATAGTGAAAGAGAGCATAATAAGGGCAACAGCAAGAGAGTGAGTAATAAGTGCATTAGTGAGAGAGAGAGAGAGTAACAAATGCAACTGGAATAGAAACTGAGGAACAAGTGCAACATAGTGAAAGAGAGCATAATAAGGGCAACAGCAAGAGAGTGAGTAATAAGTGCATTAGTGAGAGAGAGAGAGAGAGTAACAAATGCAACTGGAATAGAAACTGGAAGTAACAAAACATAGTGAAGAGAGCATAATAATGGGCAACAGCAAGAGGAAGTAATAAATTGCATTAGTGAAAGAGAGAGAGAAAAACAAATGCAACTGGAATAGAAACTGAAAGTAACAAGTGCAACATAGTGAAAGAGAGCATAATAAGTGAAAAGAGTAATAAGTGCATTAGTGAGAGAGAAAGAGATAGTAACAAATGCAACTGGAATAGAAACTGAGAGTAACAAGTGCAACATAGTGAAAGAGAGCATAATAAGGGCAACAGCAAGAGAGAGTGAGTAATAAGTGCATTAGTGAGAGAGAGATAGAGTAACAAATGCAACTGGAATAGAAACTGAGAGTAACAAATTGCAACATAGTGAAATCAGAGCATAATAAGGGCAACAGCAAGAGAGTGTGAGTAATAAGTGCATTGTAAAAGAGAGAGAGAGAGAGAGGTAAATGCAACTGGAATAGAAACTGAGAAGTAACAAGTGCAACATAGTGAAAAGAGGAGGCATAATAAGGGCAGACAGCAAGAGAGATTGAGTAATAAGTGCATTAGTGAGAGAGAGAGAGAGAGACAAATGCAACTGGAATAGAAACTGGAGTAACAAGTGCAACATAGTGAAAGAGAGAGCATAATAGAGGGCAACAACAAGAGAGAGAGAGTAATAAGTGCATTAGTGTGAGAGAGAACAAATGCAACTGGAAAGAGTAAAAGCAACATTAGTGAAAGAGAGCATAATAAAATGCAACGAGAGAGAACTAGAGTAATAAGTAATAAGCATTAGTGAGAGAGAGAGAGTGAACAAATGCAACTGGAATAGAAACAACAAGTAACATAGTGAAAGAGAGCATAATAAGGGCAACAGCAAGAGAGAGTGAGTAATAAGTGCATTAGTGAGAGAGAGAGAGAGAGAGTAACAAATGCAACTGGAATAGAAACTGAGAGTAACAAGTGCAACATAGTGAAAGAGAGCATAATAAGGGCAACAGCAAGAGAGAGTGAGTAATAAGTGCATTAGTGAGAGAGAGAGAGAGAGTAACAAATGCAACTGGAATAGAAACTGAGAGTAACAAGTGCAACATAGTGAAAGAGAGCATAATAAGGGCAACAGCAAGAGAGAGTGAGTAATAAGTGCATTAGTGAGAGAGAGAGAGAGAACAAATGCAACTGGAATAGAAACTGAGAGTAACAAGTGCAACATAGTGAAAGAGAGCATAATAAGGGCAACAGCAAGAGAGAGTGAGTAATAAGTGCATTAGTGAGAGAGAGAGAGTAACAAATGCAACTGGAATAGAAACTGGGAAGAACTAAAAGTGCAACATAGTGAAAGAGAGCAAATAAGGGCAACAGAAGAGAGTGAGTAATAAGTGCATTAGTGAGAGAGAGAGAGAGTAACAAATGCAACTGGAATAGAAACTGAGAGTAACAAGTGCAACATAGTGAAAGAGAGCATAATAAGGGCAACAGCAAGAGAGAGTGAGTAATAAGTGCATTAGTGAGAGAGAGAGAGAGAGAGACAAATGCAAATGCAATGAGAAACTGAGGTAACAAGTGCAACATAGTGAAAGAGAGAGCATAATAAAGGGCAACAGCAAAGAGAGAGTGAGTAATAAGTGCATTAGTGAGAGAGAGAGATAACAAATGCAACTGGAATAGAAACTGAGAGTAACAAGTGCAACATAGTGAAAAAGAGCATAATAAAATCTTGCAAGGAGAATGAAAATGTAATAAGTGCATTAGAGAGAGAGAGAGAGAAAAAAATGCAACTGGAATGCAAAGGAATAACAAATGCAACATAGTGAAAGAGCATAATAAGGCAAAGCAAGAGAGCATAATAAGTGCAACATAGTGAAATAAGAGCATTTAAGAGAACAACAAATGCAACTGGAATAGAAACTGAGAGTAACAAGTGCAAAAAAGTGAAGTTTAATAAGGGCAACAGCAAGAGAGTGAGTAATAAGTGCATTAGTGAGAGAGAGAGAGAGTAACAAATGCAACTGGAATGAAACTAAGAGTAACAAAGTGCAACATAGTGAAAGAGAGGCATAATAAGGGCAACAGCAAGAGAATAGTAATAAGTGCATTAGTGAGAGAGAGTAACAAATGCAACTGGAATGAAAACTAAGAGTAACAAGTGCAACATAATTGAAAGAGAGCATAATAAGGGCAACAGCAAGAGAGACGAGTAATAAGTGCATTAGTGACAAATGCAACTGGAATAGAAACTGAGAGTAACAAGTTTCAACATAGTGAAGAGAGAGCATAATAAAGGCAACAGCAAGAGAGTGAGTAATAAGTGCATTAGTGAGAGAGAGAAGGTAAAAAATGCAACTGGAATAGAAACTGAGAAGTAACAAGTGCAACATAGTGAAAGAGAGGCATAATAAGGGCAACAGCAAGAGAGAGTGAGTAATAAATGCATTAGTGGAATGAAAGAGAGAGAGTAACAAATGCAACTGCAATAAAATAACTGAAGTACAAGTGCAACATAATAATAATGAAGAAACAACAAGAGAGAGTGAGTAATAAGTGCATTAGTGAGAGAGAGAGAGAAAATATTTAACAAATGCAACTGGAATAGAAACTGAGAGTAACAAGTGCAACATAGTGAAGAGAGCATAATAAGGGCAACAGCAAGAGAGGTGAGTAATAAATGCATTAAGAGAGAGAGAACTGAGAACAAATAACTGGAATAGAAACTGGCAAGTGCAACATAATGAAAGAGAGCATAATAAGGAGGCAACAGCAAGAGAGAGTGAGTAATAAGTGCATTAGTGAGAGAGAGAGAGAGAAAAATCAACAAATGCAACTGGAATAGAAACTGGGAGGTAACAAGTGCAACATAGTGAAAGAGAGCATAATAAGGGCAACAGCAAGAGAGTGAGTAATAATAATAAGTGCATTAGTGAGAGAGAGAGAGAGAATAACAAATGCAACTGGAATAGAAACTGAGAGTAACAAGTGCAACATAGTGAAAGAGATCATAATAAGGGGCAACAGCAAGAGAGAGTGAGTAATAAATTGCATTAGTGAGAGAGAGAGAGTAACAAATGCAACTGGAATAGAAACTGAGAGTAACAAGTGCAACATAGTGAAAGAGAGCATAATAAGGGCAACAGCAAGAGAGAGTGAGTAATAAGTGCATTAGTGAGAGAGAGAGAGAGAGAGTAACAAATGCAACTGGAACAGCAAGTAACAAGTTCAATGCTGGTACAGATGAGAGAATGTGAGTATTTCTTTTTTTTCTCTTTTTCAACAAAAATTTTTAGGATCAGCTGTCATATTTTTCCTTTTGGCTAAACATGTGCACAAGTACATTCAATTTGTATCATGTTTTTGATGAATTTAGGCACACTTATCAACATATATGGATGCATTCATCTTTTAGCAAACAGCAATTTCTTTTGAGCAAGATTCATTTTGGGATAAAAAAAAATCTCCGCTGAAAGAAAAGAAATCTAGAAAGTATGATTTAATTCTACTTTACAAAATTATTTTTTGCTCTCCTTCCAGTCATCAGTTAATTGCTCCCTGTCTCTGCACATAAAACACACATACACACAAAGTGATATATATTGATAGATATAAATATTCTTCATGGAGAACTTGAGAGAAACAATATTAACCGTTTTTGTTCTGCTTGTCCTTATCAAGTTTATTCTCCTAGTGTGTATTTTTTTTAACTGTCCATATATTTCCTGTTTTTGCATGCTCTAGCAAATTCTTCTCTTTTCTTTAAATGAATTGTTTTCGTTACAAATGTTGGCAAAATATGCCTGATGAATGCTCACAGAATGGTTTTGTAAAAACAAACAATACATTTTCAAATGCAGGAAGAATCTGTGCAGTCTTCATTGGTGATTTCTTCTAATTGTAAGGGTTATAGCAATATCATTTTGAAACACTGCTTCTCATATGATCACTGAAGTTAAGCAATGTCAAGCCTGATCAATAGCATGACCACTTGGGAATACCAGGTACTGTAAGCTTGGATGCGCAGGTGGTGTCATAGGTAATGACTCAGAATGAGAAATCAGAGGGCTGAGTTTGAATCTCAGTTTGGTTTGTCATATTCCCTTATACAAATATACCCTTGGGAAAGATATGAATACATCACTTCTCTCTCAAGCTGTGGGTTTAATTTGTAAGACATGTATCCAAAAATCTTTATTTTCTCCAAAAGATTCTTACAATTCAGAATATTTTCTAGCTTTAAATAACCTGCAACCCTTTATATTCCATTTGTAAGAAAGAAGTTCCACTCAATCAGCTTCTTCTCAAGATCTACTTCTTTGTCAAACAAACTCCCAAAAGGATTCTTATCTGACCACTACAATCGTCTTCATGTCCCTGGTTAAATGTTATCTATCCTACATATCTTCATAATCTGCACATGCCCTCCTCCGATATCTATAAAAACTTGTTTAGTCAACTTGTAACTTGGGTGGCTATTGGGGCTTGTATTTGGTGAACATTGAAGATCCTCGACAAAATCCAGAATTGGCCCTGATTTGGCATCTCGTTTACAGTCACTCTCTCACAGACATGCCATTGCTTCCCTCTGTCTTTTCTACAAATACAACTGCTTTCACTGGTTCCCAAACTGCATGAATTTAAATGTGCTACTAGGTTGGCATCTCAGTTCCTCCCTTTTACTGTCGAAATGGTTAAATGTAGCCATCTCTTCTGATCCAATAGCTTCATGTCTCACACTTCCCGTCTATGGAACTCCTTTCCTCTTAATTGCTTCCCTGATAGCTATAATCTCCAAACATTCAAATGCAATGTTAATCGACATCTCCAGATGCCTTGATCTATTCCCTATCCTTCTCTTCATCCTTTCCTCTATCACCCCTTTTTACTCTTGCTCCCACTCTCTGTAACCCCCTTGTGTGTTAGTGGCACTCCTGCTTTGCTTGGGGTGAAATGCTTAAAAAAATTACTTCCGAATTTCACAAAACAATAGGAAATGGGAAACAAAATATTTTTTTGAGTTTTATATTTCTATGTTTACATAATCAAAATATTTGCTGATCATGGAAAAGTAAATAATCTTACAGAAGTTGTTGCATAATTTGATTTATAATTAAATAATCATTATCTTAATTACTCTGGGTGACAGCTTTTATAGTCACAATAATAGGCACACTGCATTCTCCACTTTCATCTTAAACTGTATTGCAGTCAGTAAGATATCAAGAATTTTCAAATGAATGATTTTTTTTTAATGAGATCCTTCTCAATCTATTATCCAAGCAAAAGTTTATCATTTATCAATTCATCAATCTTCCTATATATCACTGGACAATTTCCTCGAACATAAAAAGAAGACTTCAGGCAAGAGGGATTCAAGTTTGAAGAATGATGCTCAGAAAGCCATAGATGGAACATGTGAGCAATGAATAAGTTTTAAGGAAAATGGAAACAAAAGCCAATACTTGCATGTAGAATCAGAAAGAGACAGTTAAAATTGAATGTAAAAAATTTCCCCTGCTATATATCTTGTGATTCTTCCAAAGAAGAGTATGTAATTTTATTGGTTCTGACCTGGCATCTTTCCCACTGCCATGATGTGGCATGCCTATGTATTGTTCTAATGAGCTTTCCTACTTGTTACTTCAAACACATAAATTTAAGTAAACTACAAGATTGGCGGCTATATCTAATCATTTTACTACGGAAAGAGCTAGATGCAACCATTCTTGCCTTTGGAACACTCTTCAGATTTCTTGCTTTCCCTGCTACATACAATCTTCAGAAATTTAAATGCAACATCTATAGCTATCTTTTGTTTTCCTGAATCCTGTTTCTTTATTGTTCTTTCTTCTCACTAACATCTTCTCATTCTCTTTCACTCTCAATAATCCCTTGTGTCTCAGTGGTATTATTGCCTTGCTTGGGGTGAAACAATTAAAAAAAAGTGTTACATGTGAAATCATCAGAAATTACAACATGTCATGAGAATTACACAATGAAAATAAACATAGATTTTTAGAAATGAATAGAATAAAATTTAATAAAACATGGAACATTCACAATTTTAAATGATTCAAGTAGATTACTGCATATAATATTTGCCTTGATTGGACTGTTGTCCTAATCTTTAGTCATATTCATGATATTTCAGCTTTTGTATGCTCCGGCCTTATTCAGCCTTATACATATATATACACACATATATATATATATATATATATATATATATATATATATATATATATATATACACACACATGTTGTAATTTCAAACCAAACACTTTATTTCATCCACTGGGATAGATTGTTCTAGTTCCATATGCCATGCTTTTAACAGTTCCTTTTCTCGCACTTCTTGCTTGTGGAATTCCCTTCTGACTTTATGCTTTCCAGCCAACTTTAATCTGCAAAAATTTAAATGCAATGTCAATTGCTATCTACTGCCCTCCTGATTACTCTTTACTCTTTCCACTCATTATTAATGTTTCTGTTCTTAATTTTTCCACATCCTGTAAATCCTTGTATCTTAGTGGCTTTACTGCCTTGCATAGTGTGATAATGATTAAAAATAAAGTAGCAATAGAGTAATTAACCCTTTTTTTAATATGGGAAACATCCATCTGTACAGATGCAAGAGAGGCCCCAGATTGCATGCAGACATGTTTGTCAGTCCCAGTTACATTCAGGTTTCCCTCATCAGCAGCATGACAGCTTGGCATGTCGAGATATGGACATCTTTACAACTGGTCAGGACTGGCCTTTGTAAGATGCCTCAAACCAATAAAAGCAACAGGAAACCCAGTAATCAGCAGTTTACATCTTGAGAAGGCCGTCCTGTGGGCATTTTGTTCCTAAAGTTTTTGTGGTTTCCGAGGCAGTGTTATTTTTGTTTCTTCTGTCCTTTACTCTCTCTGCCTATTACCACTGTAGTTGTTGAGAGAGCAATTGATTAAGTGTTTCCTCTAACCTCAACACCATATTGCCATACAACATTTAATCTACAAGGGTAGATTGTTCCCATTTCACTGCTCATATCTAGGAATATCTTATTTTCATACAGTTATTTCTCACCTCTTTTCCACTAGGTTAAAACACTTTAATCCACTAGGCTATTGTGAAGAACTTAAAGAGTTAAATCTAAATTCAAAAGAATAATAGGTCCAAAATTCCCTGTAGGTTACCAGGATCAAAATACACTTGTCAAAGGTCAGAGTGCACAATGGCCAAAATACTGTGATAACAACAACAAAAAATGAGGACAATAGACCACATGTAAATACTGTAAATAATGATAACATCTCATCCTCAAAATTCTGACAGCAATGAGTAGTAATAACATTTTGTAATTTAACTAGCCAAAAGATCTATATAGTAATACACTTGTACCTATGTATGATGTAGGTCATGCTTGGTATAACACATGTTTAAAGTAAAACAGAAAGAGAGAGGAACATAGTAAAGCAGAAAGCGAGAAGAACATAGTAAAGTAGAAAGAGAGAGAAACAGAGATAGTAAAGCAGAAAGAGAGAGGAACATAGTAAAGAGAAAAAGAGAGAAACTGAGATAGTAAAGCAGAAAGAGAGAGGAACATAGTAAAAGCAGAAGAGGAGGAACATAGTAAAAGCAAAGAGATAGAGAGGAACATAGTAAAGCAGAAAGAGGGAGGAACATAGTAAAGCAGAAAGAGAGAGGAACATAGTAAAGCAGAAAGAGAGAGGAACATAGTAAAGCAGAAAGAGAGAGGAACATAGTAAAGCAGAAAGAGAGAGGAACATAGTAAAGCAGAAAGAGAGAGGAACATAGTAAAGCAGAAAGAGGGAGGAACATAGTAAAAGCAGAAAAAGAGAGGAACATAGTAAAGCAGAAAGAGAGAGGAACATAAA